TTTTTTTTTTTATTTTATTTTTTTTTTATTTTTTTTCCCCAGGAAAAAAATGTTCCAAGGGTGAAGATGCAACCTTCCACCTCTGGGTGCAAATGTTTGTCTTGTAGTCGAGCCCATGCAGGACCAGCAGCACAACGGCCATCACGGGGGCTGTCATTATGCTTGGCTCTTACCTGAAAACAGGCTTTTTATTAAAACAGCATGAAATCCCTAAAAATAGTGAGGCAAATAGATAACATGTTGCATGGTGCATTAAACTTTGTTGTTTTAACGTTACAAAGGGGGAAATGCCAGTTTCCATTGGGTTTACTCCACAGATGTGTAACAGCCAGGGGGAAAACAAAATCCTGATTAGAAGCAGAAAGGAAATAAAACAAACCTCTCCCAGCCACGTGAAAGATGAAAGAAATGGGACCAGCGGCTCTCTGTGGGGTCTGGAGGAAGAGCCTCCAGCAAAGCCAGCTGGAGGCCACCCCGGTGAGGGAGCCAGCTACACGCGTGGATTCAGGAGTTCCTCACGGCTAAACACAGAATCACAGAATCATCTAGGTTGGAAAAGACCTTGAAGATCATCCAGTCCAACCGTTGACCTAACACTGACAGTTCCCAACTCCACCAGATCCCTAAGTGCTATGTCAACCCGACTCTTGAACCCCTCCAGGGATGGGGACTCCACCACCTCCCTGGGCAGCCCATTCCAACATCTAACAACCCGTTCTGTAAAGAAATTCTTCCTAATATCTAGGAACCTTCCTAATACCTACACACCAACCCAGAGCTGAGCTGGCCAAATGTCGGCACTGATGGTCCCGAGCCGAGGCCAGCCGGAGCCATCAGCTGCACAAGCAACAGCACCGTGTAGACACACTCCACTCCCGGTGAGTTTGGTTTCAGGGCACACCTGTGTATGTAACACGAGTCGCAGGTGATGTTCAGCACGAGCAAACAAGACATGTTGGTGTGCCTGAGCTCCTCTCCTAGGCAGGAGGAGAGTGGTCCATCACCCCACATGCATCAGCCTCTCTGCTCTCCGCCTGACCAGAGCCACTCACAGGTTTTCACCTGTGGAAAGTTGCTCAATATTCGTACTGTTAAGATAATGAAGGTTTGGAAGAGAGAGGGATTTTTGTTTATCCTGAACAAAAGAAGGCAGATTTTACAAGCCCCGTTATTTATTTCAAGAAATCAGTTTGCAGTGAAACTGTGGGTTCACGTGGTCTCAGCAGCAATCCTGTGTAACAGTACAAAAAAATTTGGATTCCCCCATCCCAAAGAGGGGAGCTCAGCACTAACTCTCAGCAGCAACCTATGATTAACTTCTGTTACCAACATAAAGGACAAATAGCAATATTTTAAGTTAAAACACAGCAAGATTAAGATAACAGCAAGAATTCCTCCCAAGTATAATAAGAACAGAACTTGCTGGGTTTTCTTATCACAATCACAAAAAAGCTTTTGTATTTACTGTCCTGATCAAAGTCTTCCAGTTGAAGACACGTTTTCCCTCTATCCTACACGCTCCCTTTTATGGGACCGAGCGCTTATTCAGCCCAGCTCCAAATGTCTGTGCGTAGCTGGTAGTACTTGCCTAGTCATCAGATTCACAAGACAAGTGGCTGTTAGTCCTGCCTGAAATCCTCCAGCTGCACGCTAAAAATACTCACATCATGCCTCTTGTAATTACCAAGTAGCTTAATTACCCACACCACTTCCCATGAGTTGCAAGAGCTACAAATGAATATATAGAATTCACTTCCCCACCTCTGTTTTATATGTTGGAAACAGATTTATTTATAGGCAAGGAATTAAAATTAAAACCCTCCCTCTGTGTTACAGAACAATCCTGAGCAGACAGCAAGGCCAGCCTGGCCACTGCTTTCAACTACAGCAGTTACTGGAGTAGAAAACACTTATTATTGAACAAAACCCCTGCCACTGTTAGAGTCACTGCTCTTCGCAGCCGGCGTGTTCTGCCTGGTCATTTCATACACACACTGGCGGTATAAAAATATATTCAGACACCTGAATGCTCAATATTTCACAAATATTTTGAGTATGTACGGTGTGGGTATGTATAATCCTGTCTTACACCGGGGACAAAATGTACAAATATACTACGTGTATGAATATACTATATCCAATTGAGAAAAATGTTTGGGGATGTTTAAGGTAATAGAATCACAGAATGGTTTGGGTTGGAAAAGACCTTAAAGCTCATCTAGTTCTGACTCCCCTGCCCCGGGCAGGGCCACCTTCCACTAGCCCAGGTTGCCCAAAGCCCCGTCCAACCTGGCCTTGAGCCCTTCCAGGGAGGGGGCAGCCACAGCTTCTCTGGGCAGCCTGTGCCAGGGCCTCACCCCCCTCACAGGGCAGAATTTCTGCCTTAGACTTAACCTAAATCTCCCCTCTTAACCCCGTTGCCCCTTGTCCTATCTCTACCCCCCCGATGACGAGTCCCCCCCCTTTGCTGCAGCCCCTTTCAGCCCTCTAAGGTCTCCCCGGAGCCTTCTCTACTCCAGCTGAACCCCCCAACTCTCTCAGCCTGTCCTCACACAATTTTTTTCCCCAAATCATCCAAACTATTTTCCTGCAAAGATGGTTTCCCTTCATGAAGCCTATAAACCCTAAGAAGCTTCATCAAGGGCATGAAGGCTTTTTCTTTTGGTCACGACCCCTCCCAGCTCACAGTTCTCACCCAAACCCACCAAACATCGTACAAAAACATTTTTTCCAACAGTTATTGCTGACGTATTGGCTACTGCAGTGCTAAACCTCTGCTCGCAGAGCAGACTTGTCCTCCGGCATATGGGCACGCATTTTTTCCCTCTGAATTAACTCGTCCCCTTTCCAGATGTAGTAGCCTCTCATGCATAGTAGGACGCCTGCAGAATGCACTAATAGAAGATGGCATGGCCCACTCTGAGTTTGATACTGGATTGCAGTTGGGGGAAATAGTCACACGGTATTTAGATCATACAGTCTGTTTATAAAAGGTCTTGGGCGCTGACACAGAAATTCTAGTTAACTCAATCTTTCTAGCTTCACCAGCACCTTTCAGACAGAAAGGCATCCCCATCCCTGCTCTGCAGCAGGATTACTTCTTCCTGCCCTTTGCCCTGACACGGCGCTATGAAAATTAACCATTAAATTCCCTAAGCAGCAGCCCAATCGCCCATTTGTCAGGTCGCATTAGGGCGGCGACATGTCGTCCTCGCTGTCACCAGCGCCGGGGACAATGGAAGGTCCCCATCCTCCAGGGAAGGGCTGAGGAGCCCTCCAGCAGAGGTGCTGCTGAACGTCAGAGCTCCGGTTCTGCAGGAGACACGTTGTTGGAGGTGACGGTTATTTGTGGGGACATATTTGTCCCTCCTGCCCCTCTCGCAAGCCCAGGAGAAATCTGCTAGTTGGCCTTGACTGAAGGCCACCAGCTGGGTTGCTGCCAGGTACAAGGAGACATCCTTGGAGGATCGAGGCACCCTCAGCAAGCTTCTGGATGACACCGAGCTGGGTGGTGTGGTTGATACACTAAAGGGAAGGGATGGGCCATCCAGAGGGACCTGGAAATGCTGCTTTCAGG